TTTTGTAAAATTGTAATTAAAATTAAAATTGAATTCCTGAAAATAGTTTTAAACATTGAAACAATTAAAAAGTTTTTTCAAATTTTATTCAAATTTTTTATTTTGAAGAATTTGATTTCAATAAAGAATATTAATTATTAATTATTAAATTACTATTTAAGTAAATAAATGTTAAATAAATTGCTTCTGCAACTGAGTGTTATTTTTTTTTTTTTAACTTATAGTCAACCGCACTGCGAGAAAACATTTTTATTATTTCACCACTAAAAACGTTAATTGTAGAAAAAGACTAAAAGCTTTTACGTTATAAAGAAAATAAAAACTTTAATTTTAAAAAAGAATAAAAAGTTTCTTTGTAAAAAAAATAAAAACTTTAAGTGTAAACAAATCTAAAAACTTTAATAATAATCTTGTTATGGTCCAAAAATTTCAGAAAGTTTTGAACACATTACACTGAAAAAAAAATTTATTTGATTCAAATAACCGATTACTTGACTTTGGACTATTATCAATTAAATATTTACTTGAATCAAATTATTTTTATTCGAATCAATTAAAAGTCAAATTAAAATTTAAAGTCAAAATAAAATTTAAAGTCAAATTAAAATTTGCTTCAAATACTGAAATTATTGATTTAAATATACCATTTAATTGACTAAAATAAAATTTATTTGATTCAAGTAAAAATTTAATTGATAATAGTCAAGTAATCAGTTATTTGAATCAAATAAATTTTTTTTTATTGGAGTAGAGAATGGATATAAAGTTGAAAATGAAATTTTTTTAATTCAAGGTGAAAGAAAAATTAATAATATTAATAATAAAAATTAACGAGTGTAATCTTAGTGAGAAATGTTGTGACAGGAATATTTATACATCTAAAAATGAATGATAAATTTAAAGTCCTCGGGGTCATTTGTAGAGGCTTAGGAAAATTTGCAAATAGCATTGTATGTGTATGTATATATATATATATATATATATATATATATATATATATATATATATATATATATATATATATATATATATATATACATTCCCGTTAATAAAATCGTCGGATTAACACCTGTTGGTTTAAAATTCGGTGCTCTGTATTTTCATTCGTTATCGTCGCCTCGTTATGTATATTTTGCTTACGTCTTAAGAAGATTCACGTCTGCGACGCGTGCTTGTGTTGATAACGAGTCGCCTTAGGAATGCGCGTACACGAAGAGGCTCGACTTCTACTACTTGAGAGATACATGAACGGAATAATGAAATTCAAAGCTAAATGTATCTCGAAAATTTACCGAAGCTGTTTTAGAAACACTTTAAACTTTGATAATTTCAATTCAAAACAAGATTTATCAATTTTAATATTGAAACATTTTTTCCTAATATTCTGTTTTATAATTCTCTGTTGATTCAAAAAAAAAATTAATTTTCTTCCTTTTAAATTCGAACAATTTTTTTTTTAAATTCGTTTTACAGTAGGAATATTAGCATAAGTTTTAAGAGCTATTGTTGCGAGTTTACTTTATAGTTTGCTGGTAGTTTCGAAATACGTAACTTGGATAATATCTTTTACAGGGTTGCCAAAAAAATTTTATTTTATTTTTCCCTGATTTCCAGGCATAATTTTGACTTTTTCCCTGATCCTGAAGAATATTCTGATGCACTCTAAAAATTATTAGAAATGAAAAAAAAAATGTTCTAAATGTTAATGTTTCTACATTAATTTACGAATTTCTTTAATTATTGTAAAATAATTCGAAAATATAAAAAACTTCATTTTTAAATAAATATTTAATTATTATTTTTCCGTAGGAATTAAAATTTTTCAAAACATTCAAATTCAAACCTTTTTTAAATTCGACAAAAAAGTTAAATTCGACAGTTGTCGAATTTAAAAAAGGTTTGAATTTGAATGTTTTGAAAAATTTTAATAATAAATATAAAGAAATCAATCACTTCGAGACGAATACTGTTACAGTAATTTCTTCAAAATTATTTTCATCATTTTAATTTAATTATTATTTTCTAGAACTTTTTTATTGAAATTCTTTTTTAAATCCATTACTTTTAATAACTTTTGAAAAAGTAATTATAGAAAGTGAATTTATTATTATTCCGTACACTGAAAAAAAAAATTTATTTGATTCAAATAACCGATTAATTGACTATTATCAATTAAATATTTACTTGAATCAAATAATATTTATTGGAGTCAATTAAATGGTATTTGAACCAATAAACCAATAATTTCAGTATTTGAAGCAAATATGAACTAAACCATTTAATTGACTTCAATAAATATTATTTGATTCAATTAAATATTTAATTGATAATAGTTAATTAATCGGTTATTTGAATCAAAATAAATTTTTTTTTCAGTGTAGGAATTAAAATTTTTTAAAACATTCAAATTCAAATCTTTTTGAAATTTAATAACTTATACAAATATTCTTATAAAACAAGAAGAGAACGATTGCTCCGAGTCGAAGACTCGGAGTGATCGATTTCTTCATGTTTTCTAATAATTAAAGATGACCGAGTGATAAAATCATTACTTTATTCAATAAGAATATTGTTAATGTAACTTCTTAAAAACTATTTTTATAATTTCAATTTAATTATTATTTTTTACAAAAAAAAAATTCAAAAAAAATTTTAAAATTCTTCTTTAAATAAATTATTTTTAATAATTTTTGAAAAAGTTCTTCAAGAATTTTGAAATCCATTTTTGTTTACAATTCAAGTTTACCAAAAATTCCAATTTTCAATTATAATCGAAAATTGTAATTAAAAAATTTTTTTAAATAAATTTTTCTTAGAAAATTATACAAGAATTCAATTATTTAAATTGAAAAATAAATAGTTCATTGAATAATTGAATGTTTCTTAAAATTGGATTATCATAAAGAATTTTATAAGTAAATTTTTAAATAATTGAATTCTTTCGACGAATTTTACTAAAATTTTTAAGAATAATTACATTTTTGGAGAAATTCAATTAAAATTGTATTGAAAATAAGTAAAATTTTGCTATGAGTTTTATTATTGATGAAAATAATTAAATAGCACTTAAAAAATTCCACTAGTTATGAAAATAATTGAATGTTTGTGCAGAATTTTATAAAAAATTTTTTTTTTAATAACTGAATAAAAATTTTTAAAAATAATTGAAAACTTTTTGAAGAATTTTATTAAAATTAAAAAAAATTGAATTCCTAAGAAGAATTTAAATAATAATTTTTGAAAATAATTGAATTCATGCGATTTTATTAAATTTTGTTGTAAATAATTCAAATTTTGCCAAGAGTTTTATTAAAATTTTTGACAATAATTGAATTCGTGAGAAGAATTTTGCTACCTATTTACAAAAATAATTTAATATTCTTGACGAGAATCTAAAAAAAATTTTGAAAATAATTTATTTTCTGTAGAGTATTTTTATTACTTTTCAAAAGAATTTAATACTTGTAATGAATTTTGATATTTATCAAAATAATTGAATTTTGGAAAAGAATTTTATTAAAATTTTTGAAAATAATTGATTTTATGGGGTGAATTTTGTTGTTTATCAAGATAATTGAATTCTTTTGCAGAAATACTTACAAATTTTTGAAAATAAATGATTTTCTGCGACGAATTAAAAGTTATTTATGAAAATAATTTAATTATTGCATCGAATTTTATTATTTTATTTAATAATTAAATGTTTCTTAAAATTGAATTCTTTCGTTCAATTTTTAATAAAATTTTTAAGAAGAATTTCATTTCTCCAGGAATTTATTTAAAATTGTGTATGAAATATATTTGAAATTCTGAGATAAAAATAATTTATTTCCTAAATGAAATTTTATTATTTATGAAAATGATTGAATGTTGTCGTAGAATTGTGTCAAAAATGTTTTTCAATAATTAAATTATTTGATAAATTTTATAAAAATAGTAAATATTGAAAAATCATTGAATTGCGAAAAACTTTTGAAAATAATTTAAATTTTGCAAAGAATGTTATTTAAATTTTTAAAAATAATTGAAATTTTACAAAGAATGTTATTTAAGTTTTTGAAAATAACTGAATTTTTGGCGAAAAATTTTGCTATTTATAAAGATAATTGAATTCTTTACGAGATATTCGTTAAAATTTTTAAAAATAATTGAATTTCTTCAAAGAATTTTATTAATTTTGAAAATAATTGAATTCTTCTGATTAATATTGTTATTTTTAAAAATAATTGAATTTAGCAAAGAATTTTTTGAAAATTCCAAAAAATAATTGAATTTTTGTGAAGAATTTTGTTATTTATCAAGACAAACAAGAAAGACACGAAAAATTCAGAATTTTCTTATGATTTCTAAAAATTTCATTTTTTTCAGTACTTTTAATAAAAATCCCTGACTTTTTCCTAATTTCCCTGACCTGTGGCAATCCTGTTTTAAACAGGGGAAAGGGGGTCCAATTTGATTTTACAAAGAATCGAATAAATTAATTTAAATCACCCGTAGAATTTTTTTACTCCCCCCCCCTTGAATTTTATTTAAATTTAATAATTTAATTTAATCCCCGCTCCCCTTAATTTAATTTCAACATATAAGTATAGAACAATTTGGATAATTGCGAAAAAAAATTTTTTTGGAACAAATTAGAAATATTTTGTGAAAAAGTGCAATGTTTTCGGTTTTGCCCCACCCTCGGGGGCAAAAAAGAAAAAGTTAATATTTTTATGAAATTGAAGAGTATAGGGATTTTGAAAAATTGATTTATAATTTGTGATAAATATTTTTATAACTCTCGCGTCATATAATAATATTGTGACGAGAGGAAATATAATTTGAAGAAAATGAATTTGGAACTTTAGTCTCCAGCTGATCGAATAATATACTCGTTAGAGAGAACTCGTAAAAGTAGGCGGAAATGGCGATTAGATTTTGATTAGATCAAAGTTGGCGCTGAACAAATTACTTATCTAGTGACTGCAATGATTGACGAGCACAATTTCCGTTTTCAGTTGAGCGACGGCGACGGTTCAACATCAATGACAGGATCAAGGAACTTGGCACCCTTCTACCAAAAACCAATGATCCGTGAGTACTCTTTTTTTTCAAACTTATTTTTTTTTTTCTTTCATCTTATTCCTCACGTTTCCTCAAGTATAATTAAACTTCGATTGGAAAATTCATACCGAAAACAATGTGAAGAGGAGAACAAACAAAATTTCTATTTCTATTTCCAAAAATGCTACTTAAAGTTAAAATTAGTAATTAATTAATTTATTTTCTATATTTTGCCATTTCCAAAAACTTTGAGCTAAAAAATTCATCTATTTGATTCATCTATTGAAAATTTAGAGATTTATTAATTTTTAGTTAATTTGTTCTGTTTTTCTAATTTTCTAACAAATTTATTAAAATTAGAAATCGATTTGAGTATAATAATTGAAATTGTCGATTGACTATAGTCATAATATTGTTGATTAAAAATTGCCTTATGAGAAACTTAATTTTATTTAACGATTGATTTGAGTTCTTTGCAATAAGGCAGTGAGTTCTTTTTCTAATAGAAGACAAATAAGAAGCTTGTACAACTTATCAGATTTGAAGGACGCTAATAAAAGTACGAGAAGTTTATATTGAACCTCGATCTGTTTAAGATAATGCAGAAACACATTTATCAATTGTAATCTGCATTTAATGAAAGTCCAATAATCCTCTTAGGGGAGATTAGAAGAATTTTAAATTTATCCTAATGTCTATTAATAATGAAATTCATCTCCGGTCAAGTATATTTTTACTTTTCGCTTCAATTTTCCTTCATTGACGTGATGAAAATACTCCATTAATAAGAAATTAATTTCTTAATTTATATTATGTTTATTATTATTGTTTTAATATTTTAATATTTTAATATTTTTATAAATAATAAAATTCTTCTCTGGAATTTTTAAAAATTTTAATAAAATTCTTTGCATAAATTCAATTATTTTTTCAGTCTTAAAGCTATATTTTTTGCTACTTTTATAAAATAAATTATCGAGTACGAAGCCTGATGGAAAGATAATTTTATTTCTTTAAATCTAGATGTGATTCATATTTCACATCAAAATAATATATTAGTAAATATTCGCTTCTAAATTCTGAATAGAATTTATCAACTGCAGATGAATTAATAAATATATTTTTTTTTTGTAGAAACTTTTCCTTGGAGAAGGATTTTTTTTTGAAAATTAGAGAGAGAGAGTGGAGAAAATAGTTGCGATTAATAAATAAATTTGTTTATTTTCGATTTGATTGAAAGGCGATTCGTTTTGGAGATTCTCTCGAGGAACTAGGAGGTGGTATTTATTTCAGAGTTCCCTTTAACGAGCTCCACTTTGCATAGGAGAACGTATGAGTCGATCGACAATTTATCAATCCTTGCTCGAATCCATTTGTCAATGTCGAGACCTGCAGGTCTTAAAAACTAGAATATCCCATCTAATCTTCCGCATAACCTTTTCCCTTAGCTATATATTATCTTTTTAGAAAGTTTTATTAATTGTGCTCCTTCTTTTTAGAGTATTTTATTTTTATAATAATAATAATACCTAATAATAATATTCTTTTAGATTGAAAATAATAAATATTAATAATTCACTAGTTAATTAGTTAATAAGTGAATTTGTTCTTTAGTTTTTCTAAGGATATCAAATTGAGACAAAAAAACCGCTGCCAAGTTGTATATTTTTTTTATAATTTTGGTGCTCATTTCATGAACACTTTACTTCCACATAGAGATAATAATAATAATAGGAAAATATATGAATAACTTTTAATAAATATGGTAAAAGTGATTGAATCTTGGGTCAATCAATGTATTTTTAAATACCCTACAAGATAGTTACAATAATTTAATAGTTAAACAACAATTTTCAAACAAAAAAGTTGAGAAAATGTCATTTTCCACAATTTTTGGTTTTTAAAATACCAATAATTTCGAAATTTATTATCGAATTAGGTTCAAAAATAGGTCAATCGAGGCGTTTTTTGAAGCTCTACAAGTCGGTAACGATAATTTTAAGATTACTTCTACATTTTTCAACAAAATTTTCAAAAAAGTCTTATTTTCCAAAATTTTGAATTTTTAAAAGTTTGAATCTCCGGTTAATATGGACGAAAAATGTTCAATTAGGGCTCAAAAGATGCGTCTAAAAAACTCTACAAAATTATGGAAAAACATTTATAGGTGTCCTAACATTTTTTTAAAGTTATGGGCAAAAAACGTTTTTTTGCAAAATTAAAAATCCAAAAAATATTTACTTAAACTTTATTAATCTATCTCAAAGTACCTCATTCTATGAAGAAGTAAAAGAATCAAAATGTTGCTTCGCAACACTTTTGATTCTTTTTTTGTCTCAATTTGATATCCTTAGAAAAACGGTGTTAATTTTGAATTTTAAATTGTTTGAAAACACAACAATTATTATTATTAACTATATTAATTTCCGTATCTTTTCACTCATTCTGTCTGCAGTTTGAAGTTAGTTTCTGTGTATGTTTTTCATTTTTTCTTAAATATTGTATGACAAATCGAAAATATGCAGGTATTTTTTCATGATTTATAATAAAATAATATTACAAATTAGAAAATTTTAAAAAAATTATGATTAACAAATAAAAACTATACCCATTTTGTTTGTTATATGCTTTTTTCTATAACAAATTTTGTTTGACTGATCTAAATTATTATGCAAATTATTCCCCTTTTTATTTATAAAAAATACTAGAAAATTATTAATTGTTAAAAAATTTTGATTAAAAAGTAGGAAATATACCCAATTTATGCAAAATTTTTATTTTTCAATAACAATATTGTTTACAAACTCATTTTTTTCTTTTGTGAAGAAAAACATTAGAAATTCCCGTTTCTTAATATTTTTGTAGAAAATTCTCAATTTTCATAAGGAAATAATTTACATCAATTCTATTTCTTAATTTCAATTGTTTTAATAAAATTCAAAGTTTTTCAAAGTAAAGAAAAAAAATGTTTATAAATTATTTTTGTCAATTAGAAAATTTAATTGAAAATGAAACTGAAAATTTTTGAATTCTTGGAAAATAAAGGAAAAATGTTTATTGAAAAAAATGTTCTGTTAAATTTATTTACGAATATCTTTAATTGTAAAATTATTCGAAAACAATAATTTCTTTTTTAAATATTTTAAATATTTCATTATTACTATTTTTCCATAGGAATTAAGATTTTCAAAATTTTCAAATTTACCTTTTTTAATGTAACTTCTTAAAAATTATTTTCATATTCTATTATTATATAAAATTTAAACTAAAATTCATTTTCAAATCAATTTTTATTACAAAATTCTACGAGAATTCAATTATTTAAATACAAAAGTAAATTATTTATTGAATAATTGAATGTTTCTTAAAATTGAATTCTTATAAAGAATTTTATTAACAAATTTTTAAATAATTGAATTCTTTTGACCAATTTAAATAAAAATTTTTAAAGTAATTAAGTTTCTGCGAAGAATTTTATTAAAATTTTTGAAAATAATTGAATTCCAACGAAGAATTTTATTGTTTAGAAAAATATTTCAATTTAATTTTTTTTTTTTATGGAAAATAATTAAATTATTGGATAAAATTTTATCAAAAATTCTAATTATAATTGAATTCTTTCCAAGAATTTTATTATTTACGAAAAATAATTGAACTGTTGGAAAGAATTCTATAAAAATTTTTAAAGTAATTAACTTTCTGCGAAGAATTTTATTAAAATTTTTGAAAATATTAAATAATTGAATTCCAGCGAAGAATTTTATTGTTTAGAAAAATATTTCAATTCTACTAAAGATTTTTATTATTTAGGAAAATAATTGAATTCTTGCGAAAAATTTTATTACAATTTTTGAAAATTATTGAATTCCTGTGAAATTTTTATTATTTTAGAAAATAATTGAATTTTTTTGACCAATTTTAATAAAATTTTTTAGAGCCTAATTAAATTTTTCGAGAAATTCGACTAAAATTATATTAAAAATAATTGAAATTCTGCGGTGAGTTTTTTATTTCTGAAAATAATTGAATTATTGAGAAGAAACTTATAAAAAATTTGTAAATGTTTGAATTCCTGTGAAATTTTTATTATTTATGAAAATAATTAAATGTTTGCGTACAATTTTATTAAAAATGTTTTTAAATAATTGAATTCTTTTGGGTAATTTTATTAAAATTTAAAATATTAGCTATTGAAAATCATTGAAATGAGGAAAATTGTTGAAAATAATTGAAATTTTAACAAGAATTTTATTAAAAGTTTTGAAAATAATTGAATTTTGAAGAAGAATTTTTTTATTTATAAAGATAATAAATGTGATTTTGTCAAGATTTTTTTGTTAATTTTGAATAGAATTGAATTTTGTGATAAGAATTTTATTACTTTTGAAAATAATTGGATTTCTGCATTCATTTGTAACTTCTTCAAAATTCAATGTTTTTAGTGTTTTTAACTAAAATTCTAGAAATCTATCATTTTTAATGATTAATTGGAATATATATTGACAAATTTAACTAATTTTAGAAGATTTTGAATTATTACAATTTTTCAAAAATCTAAGTTCATTAAAATTTCTAATTAAATTCATTCAACATTGAAATTTTATAAAATTTCAATTTGAAACCGTTTGAAGTTCATTTATTTTTGAAAATTGTAAACACAACTCTTTTAAAATTGAATTAATTTTGAGATATTTAAGTACAATTATTCATTAAATAATTTATTTATTTTATGATATAGTTGTTCAAGATTTATATTATTTAAAAAGAAATTTTTGTCAGAAATTGAAAAAATTGAAGGTTTTGTATTAAAATTCATGGTAATTTTATAGTATATGAGTCAAACAAAAAAGATGCAAAAATTCAGAATTTTCTAATGAATTCTAAAAATTTAATTTTTTTCAGTATCTTTTAATAAAAAATTCCTGACTTTTCCCTGAATTCCCTATGTCAGAATATAGGATTATTATAATTTTAAGAATATTAAAACTATATATTCCAATTCATATTTCATTATTATAAAAAAAATTTAA